AAGTGTTTTCCAAAGATGATTTCAGATAGTTGTGTGCTAACCTAGTTTGCTTCTCAACTTGTGATATGTGCCAATATCAAAATGTTCCTTCTTTGTTTTTTCTGAAAGGGTCCACTAAAACATTTACAACACATTTCAGTTGGCCCACCACTCATTCATACCCTTGACCAGAAACCCACAGAGAAAAAGGGAAACTCGGTATTAGGTTAGTCATATTTAACATTTCACATGGAAAATACTGTTTAGAAAATTCTCTGGGACTCTGTACAGCTGCTGTTTCTAGCAGTGGGTGATGCTGAAAGAAAGTCACAGTTGAAAATTCAATTAGAAACTCTCTGTGTGGACTCTATTGTCAGTTACACAGTCTAAGTCAACGTTTCTGTTTAAAGAAACACCCTAAAAAGTTCTCCCTCTTATGACTAAGTTTTTTGGTCTTACTGAAAGTGAAACATTTTTGAAGTCTTTCAGTTACCTTCAGTTAAGATGGTTGCTGGATTTAGATGTTTCCTGACTTTAGTGTTTCTTGATCATTATTGTTTTGTGTTCACAAGATAACAAAGATTCATATGTGCTTTTTCTTTTGTTGTTCTTATAAGTTGTATGTAGAAGACACAAACCCCTATTTTAAAGTGGATAAAGACTTGACTGCATGTTAGGAAAAATTGTGCTAGAAAGCTTTAATATGAAATGTAAGCTCCCGTTGATTTATGGTTATTTACAACCCAGAAGTTGAATTGGATTTTTCTGCACTGTCACCTAAAATAATTTTGTTGACATTTTGTTTTTATTCATATCAACTCTCATCTACAAAAGCTATCAACTATCAGCTACAAAAGCATATGTAGTCTGTTTTGGTGATACTTGAATTGTTTCAATTCAATGTAAGTGGAGTAGCTTTTCCTTCTAATGACATTAAGTTATATTTAAGCACTTGTTTTCTTTCTTTTTTTTTTTGTAGATTTGCAGTCTTAACAGTAACTCGACTTACCAAGTACACAGAACTTTAAATAGCCCATTACATCTATAATCCTGAAAAAATAAATTCCTGCAAACTGTTAAGCAGGAAAAAAAAGCCTTTTTCTGTAATGTTTCAAAAAATATTAAGCATTTAAGTCACAATATTATTTGCACATAGTAATTATTTTCAGACCAGAAATCTTAGCTTAGATAATTTTCTGTGCATAGATGTAAGCCCTAAAATAGAAACCCAAAGTTTTTGTTCAACATAAGAAAAAGCATACTGGAGACACTTAGGTTTTCTTTCTCTCTTCTTTTGAGTTTAAATAAAGCAAAGTCTACACTGGCAATTGTGCTGAGTTTTACCTTCAAAACATATTTTTATGTTTGCTCTATGTAAATTGGTATTTTTCATTTTTTTGGAAATTACTTTTACACTTTACAGTTACTTTCAATGCTGCCAACTTTAAAAAGAAATAAACTACTTTGATCCTATAACACAAAACTGAAGATACATATTTTTATTTATTATCTTTAAACATAAATATGCATATATTTTTTTCTGGTTTAATTTAGGTGACATGGCATTGGTGGGCAAATTTTACAGTATCACCAAAGTGCCTAATAGCCCTCCTCAGCAGTGTCCCTGTGCTAGTTGTTGTTGACATAATAATCATAAGCAATTTTATCTTTCAAGAATCAGATATTATGTCTTCAAGATTTTGATGAAATCTGACTGATAACCAACTGTTGAGGTGGAAGGTCTTCCCTTGGTATATGCACAAGACTTAGTGATGGCTCTGCACCCAGGGATCACTACTGGTGGACATAGGGGTTTGAACCCGGGTCAGTTGCATACAAGACAAGCACCCTCCTGGCTCTAGTGTCTTTCCAGCCTGAAACTCTTCCTTTCACGCTCAATTTTCCCAAAGATTGACCACAATAAAGGTGTTGTTAGAAGACTTCAGCTCTAAGGTTTTTTTGCGGCTCACTTTCTGTAGCTTGGCACATCACTGTTACAGGAAAACCTCTCTCGTGCTTATCATTATGTGTTTACTCTTTTTATGAGTGAAAGGGACTTTTACTCTTGGATTTACACGCCAAAGGAACTTCTTTCAAATTTGGACATCTCTGTTCAGTTGAAGCTGTAAACATGCCACTGCTTGGTTTACTAGTAATCTACAGCAAACCTTGGTGTTCAAAGGAAAATGAGAATACTGTCTTGCTCGGGGCTTTGACCACATCCGGGCTGCCGACGTGCTAGAACCAGCTTTGACATTTTTCACAGGAAATGGTTGTTTTTGTTTAAATGCAACTATAAGGTTTTGCTATTTTTTTTTAAATTAATTATATTTATTACCTATAAAATAGATAAGAGAGTCAGAGTCTGGCAAACTTCCCGTGTCGTACTCAATATGCCAAGTACCAGTAACAATGATGGGTCTAATTCTCCTAATCCTGAAAGAGCATTGAAATGGCTCTTTTAAAATCTCAGGGCTAGGAAGAAGGAGACGTTACTGGTGCCTGCTCGAGGAAATTGGCGAACAACAGGATGCTTGTGATCTTGTGATTATCTATAAAATATTCCATGAATATGGCGCTTGTTGTTCAATTATGTAAAGAATGTTACATATAATAAAACTTCACTTTTTTTGCAGTTCATTTGAAATGTATTCTGTAATTACAATTGAAATTTTCTTCCGGTAAAATCTGCACTTTAAGATAAACTTGAGTGGTCTCTGGAAGTATTATGTTAATTTAAATAATTAATAATTAAAGGTCTTGTACAAATCTCACTCTTGTTATGAACCTGATATTCCAAATATTTAAGTTGTTCTTTCTAAAAATATTCTATTTCAGAGTTGATGGAAATGTCTTAGGTACATAAAATCTGTCAAATAAACTATGAGCTATCCAGTTTTCTATTAGGTCATTTATTAAACTGGAGCCAAATATTAAAAAGGATATATAACAGCTAATTATTTTCTCTCTATCTTGCTAGTCACACTTCCAACTTATAAATGTGATTTGTATGATCACCCTTTTGGTGGGGTTATGAGATAAGGTCATATTTTACATTAAGTAATAAAATTCCCACATTTTGGTATAGTTAAACGATGCCACTAGAGGGAAAATGAACTGTTTCTTGAATGTAATAAAGATGGCAGTTTTTAGCACACTGAAAATATGTTTGCTAGAGCAATATTTCAGTAAATATCTGACTTCCAGTCTTATTTAAAGTTTTCTTAGGAATATTTTCTTAAAGTTTTCTAGTTGGGGGGTTGGAGCTACAGTAGAGCGGGTAGGATGATTGCCTTGCACATCATCACCTTGGTTTGATACCCAGCATACCATATGTTCCCACAAGCTCTGTGAGAGGTAGCAGAGACACACAGGAATACCATCTGAGCATTGCCAGGTATGGCCCCAAAACAAAACAACAAACAAAAGGATAGTTTCTATCCGGTTTGTGTTCAGTAGTTTTAGGAATAAAACAATAAGAAACTTAAATTAGTCATGTAGCATCATTGAGGATACAGTTTCCTCAAACAATTCTGGGCTCCTGGTGCATCTCTTCAGGTAGTTCCTGGTAAAAGAATGCCAGCCTTAAACTTTCTTTGTTTTTTTTTCATTTGTTTGTTTCTTTGTTGTTATTGTTGTTTTGTTTTTTGCCTTAACCTTTTTTGAGTCAGAACTCTATTTTGAGCTATATCTTCTTGTCCTCAATTTCTGGCAGCTATTCTCCAGTCATTTGAATCTACAGAATTAGGTGGGAAGGTAGTCTCTCTTGCTAGTGGGGTGGCACTGATTTATAGTTGTATGTAATGTTAATCTAAGTATTAGAAACACTTGGGAGGATTCTCAGTTTCCGGACTCTTCCGGATGAATACAGGCTATTGCTGGAGATAGTTCCTTCCATCACAGCTTTTAAGGTGGCTATTTCATGCCTTATTTATATTCCTCTTAGGTGTTTTGCTAAGAGATACAACCAACATAAAACAATACACTCACATTTTAATGAATTATTCAAGAGCAATGGGTTTGTTAGATAGAGTATGACTTCCCAATTACTACAGACCATAGTTTTACGTGGTACTATGCTATATCATGTCAAAGATTTTCTACTTCTCAATCGCCTGCATTTATTTCAAAATTTCTCATACCCAAACTTATCACATGTGAATCATATGATGAGTTGAACTCATCTGTTTTTTATATTTATTGTTTATAGTATATGATAATATTTCATAAAAAGAAAACCTTAAAATAGGGTGGATCAAGCAAGTTTGAAGCTAATTTCCTTTATACGTAAGCATGGGGATAATCCACTCATGTCCCATGTAAGATAACTAACTTACTTGTTCATATTCAACCTCTCTTGGAATTTGAGAGTTGGAAATACTCTTGATGTGTACACATGAGCTTAAGTCAAATGTACTTGATTCCAAGTACTAAAAGCAAGAAGAAAGAACACTAAGACCAATGATCTATCTCTGCCACACAGTCTAGTGTTTTCCATTCATGCACTCATGTCACCATCTTTATTCGACCTGGTATATATCTTACACATATTTTAGTGCCTGGTTTTTACTCTTTGAAGATTCAGAACTCAATCATGATTTAGCTAGATGTTATTTTATTGAAAAGTTCAAAACTTTAGAACAAAGGTACATATACTTCAAACAATTTTAAATTATTTCCGAGTACCTTAAGTAGACAGCATTAAAATAGATGATTCTTGAAACTTCACTGAAATCAGAGAGTATCATGTTATACACAAATGATTTAAAGTAATGATCTAATATTATTTATTTTGATAGAACTTTTTAACTTCACTCAAAGGTGTCACTATATACCTATTTACAGAATTACTGTGCAAATGATTGTCAAAAATATATTCCATTTCTTATTGAATGCACTTGATTTGTGGGTTAACATATTCTTGATTAAAGACAAGTCACTTTCTAATTACATTGTATCATGTTACTTTGTAAGAGATACGGCATCACTAATAGAAAGCTTTATTTCTATTTCCAACATAGGAAGAATATTCTTCGTTTCTTAGATGCAGAGCGAGATGTCTCAGTTGTCAAAAGCAGTTTTAAGCCTGGTGATGTTATACATTATGTGCTGGACAGGCGTCGGACATTAAATATTTCTCAAGATCTGCACAGTCTTCTACCTGAAGTTTCACCAATGAAAAACCGCAGGTTTAAGACTTGTGCTGTGGTTGGAAATTCTGGCATTCTGCTAGATAGTGGATGTGGAAAAGAGATTAACAGTCACAATTTTGTCATAAGGTAAGTTTTCTTTTGCTTCTAAAGATTGTCATATTTCAAGGATATTATGGCAGGAATAAAAATTGCAAAAATTCTAAAATCTATAGGGATACTAAGGTTTATAGAAAGTTTAAACTAATATTTATTATATAGCTTTTGTGCTATAGTATCCAAATATACATTGCTCCTATTATTATCCAAATAATAATTTACATATAAACATTATTATATAATTGAAAGTTAAGATGACTTCCCTGAATCAGGAAGATGCAGGTTCCTTTTTTCCTTTTGGCCCATGTCAATGTTTTATTGATTTAATATCACATTGGGAAATTATTTTTCTTTTAATTATCCTTATATTAATTTGTATTCATTAATTTTCTCACTAACATTTATGACTTTCATAATAATTTATGAATGTATAATGGTCTTTTAAGTTAGTGGATTACAATGAACTTGGTTGGAAAGGTTATGATCATTACAATGGAATTGGTATCGTCTGCTATTACATTTTTACTGATAACTATTTGGCATATGTTAAGAACAATTTCATAATTATATATTCGAAACATCAACTAAATGACTTTTTTGCTATTTATGTGGTAATTGTTGATATTAGTATTTATTAGCTTTGAGGTTTTTCACATAATTTAACACATCTGTTTTCATAAATAGATATTTATGTTATGTCATTAGTTAACTTTTAATTAACTTAAAGAAACATTATAGATAGGTTTATGATGCCATCAGTTTTATAGTTTTTAATTTTCACTTAATCTGAACTTATTATTTGACTTATTTCATTTCTTTAGAAAAAAATGTTCAATGACTGAAACAAATAGACTGGAATATAAAATGGTGCAATATAATGGTAACTAGGAAATTATGCTGATTTACTATGCTGAAAAATAACTTAAATTCTTTGAAGTTATTGTGGAAAAGCTTACAGAATTGCAGATCCTTTTTGAAATACCTTTAAAATGATGTATACATATAAGAAATAATATTTTAATATGTGAAAATTTTTCATATACTGGCAACATTTTTTTTCAGAAAATTATAATGCACATATAAATATAATAAAAACCATCAAGGGAATGCAATCATTAGTGATGAATATTGCTACAAATTATTTTAACTTAGATACAAGACTGTAAATTGATTTCACGTGAATGAGTCTCTAAAGTCTGTCCGCTTACGTTATTTGACTAAGAGTAAAACCCTGTCAATGTGTTGATACAAAAACAAAATTATAGCTAAACAGGAAGTGTTTAAAATATAAAATATTTTTTGAGGGAATGACAAAAAGATGTGAAAAAGGTGAGCTGTGTGAAATATGCTTATGATGGAAAGTAAAGCTTCCTTTTATAGAAGACTTCAATGGAAGGGTGGGTTTACTGAAGATTTTGGAGCATAATAGAAATTGCACTACGTAAGAATTTTAAAAGTTGATTTAACATTGAAGGAATACAGCAACCAAATAAGACTTTCATCCAAGTTTCATTATTTGGTGGGGGTGGGGGTGGGGGTCGTTTGGGGGTTGGGGCTACATCAGACTGTCCTTAGGCATTACACTTGGTGCTGCGCATGCAATCAGGTTTGGCTGCAGGCAAGGACAGCACTTCAATGCTTGTACTGTCTCTCCAGCTCCTGCATATGTTTTAGCTCTTTTTTCTGGGGCGGGGGGGGGGGGGGGGGGGGGGAGAGGGGGGGGGTAACACCCAGCAATGCTCAGGGATTATTCCTGGCTCTGCAATTAGGAGTTGCTCCTGGCAGTGCTCAGGTTGACCGCATGCAAGGCAAACGGCCTAGCCACTGTACTATCCCTCCGGCCCCTGTTTTAGTTCTTAGACTTTTATAATTTATTTCATTCAGCCCTCCTGTGACTCAGTTTAAGACTGCATTTATGTGTCGTTGATGAGTTCTGTTTAAGCAAAGAAGGGTCGTGGAAAAAGGAAGGTACGGAGGTGCTTTCTCACATCTTCCCATCATCAGTTTCTCACAATTTCTCTCTCACACACACATAAACACACACATAAAACACCCCTCAATCAGCCCCTCCTAATGGACAGAAAGGGCTGTCACATCGCCTCCTTTAGAAATGTTAGGAGACCCAATTGCAGGGTAAACTCCCGCTTTTACTGCATTAAATTTAGATCTCTTGTGCCATCTTTTATGATGCAAAGATGAAAGATTTGGTAACCCTTATCTTCATTTTACAAAGCATTTCACCAGCAGAATGTGGGTGTCCTTGTCTCTCAATTTATGTTCTCAGTATGCATTGCTTTTTAACTTATGCCATTATGACATGTATCATAAAATTTCAAGACTACCTTCCAGGACTATTTGCATAAGGCTGAATTTAGAGAAATTCAGTGTTTTATAGCCTAAGAGCTATTGTCCTATAGAGACTACTATACATGTTATCTTTTGGAATTTTTTTTTGTAACTAGATTTTTGTCTAAGCTGTGAACATCTCTATTATATTATTCCTGCAAAGAGATGACATATTTCAAGAGTATAACAAAATTGAGAAGAGCATAACGAAATGAGAAAGAATCCATTGAGATCTATAATGTTAAATTTTATGAGCTAACTTGCAAGAAAGGCTTCTAAATCTAAAAATGAACAATATATAAATTGGATTTTTAGTCACAGAATCCACTGGCTGGTGCTTTTCAATTGCAAATGTTTTGAGGTATAATTGAGATACTGTGTATATTTAAGGTATACAACATGTTGAATCAATACATTTATATAGTATTATAATTGTCATTTACATACATATTCATAGTATTGTAATTAAGTGTCACCATAGTGTTATTAGGTCATATACTTATCATATATTGAATTGTGAGGAAAAGCTATAAAGATTTAGCTCATTGAAGTTCTTTTTTTTTTTTGCTTTGTGGGTTACATTCAGTGGTACTCAGAGGTCATTCCTGGCTCTGCACTCAGGAATTACTCCTGGCAGTGCTTGGGGCACCATATGGGATGCCAGGGATCAAACCCAGGTCGGCCACGTGCAAGGCAAACGCCCTACCCGCTGTGCTATCGCTCCAGCCCTCATTGAAGTTCTTAATATTATTTATAATTGTTATGCAATGGATCTCTAGAACTCAAGTCGGAAGTCATTTAGTGGTCTTTGAGCATTTGCAAATAGTAGGATATTTTTAGGACTAAAACTTGAAGAGGTTTTTTGCAATTTATAGGAACACAGTTATGACTAGTGCAATCAATCTAGGCTTGTGCTATGAGCTTAACCAAGAAATGTGAATAGAGGAGAACGAACATTTTAGTGAAAGCACAAATAGTATTTCTTTTTTTTGCCTCCCTCCCACCCCTTTTCTGTAAACACTAGTTGAGAGATGGGAGTTGCACAGTGGTTTGTGGTACTTTCATACTTGGCGTGGTGCTCTTGGGGGACCGCAGACTTTAGGTGGGCTGTTCACTCAATTGATTATAAGCCCAGGATTCCCAAATGGCATGGCCACCTGAAGTGCACTCAGCATGGGTGTGTGTTGCCAGGACTTGAACCCAGAGACTTATTTCTAGAAGACTAAAATATTCACATGAGAAATATAGTAGTCCTGGATTGAGTCTTTGATTTTCCAAGAAAACCTTTAGAAAAAGTTCATTTATCACTACAATGCATTATTTCTGCAGAAAAGAAGTTCCAGCTAGCTGAAAAGTTCATTTCCATTTAATTATATTTTATTATGCAGTTGAAAAGTGATCGGTTGGTTTCATTTACTAAAAATAGTGTACATTTTGGTAGCTTTTCTCAATGCTTTGGATTGAAAACTCTATTATTAAGTGTGGGAAGCAAAAGGCAGTACTTCGATATTTGGTTATTACTGAATTGTAAAAGTTGATAGATTCTGAAAAAGTTCAATTGGCACTTAAGAACCATCAATCCAAAAGGGGGAGAAAAAACCATGAGCATATAAAGAAAATCTTTGACACTTCTGAATAGAGACTGTCATTTCATGCCACAGGGCATGTGACTTCATTTCCTTTATTTTATTAATCAGGACATTCCTAAATACATAACATCCTTCAAACTAGTGAGCCAGAAAATTTGCTGCTGAGTCTGGCAATAATAATGAACCAAATTATCTCAGTGCCTAATCCAGCTGTAAGTTAGATCCTTTTGCTAGATTCACTAATAGACATGTGAATCTCTGAAATCAAATAATTTTGTCAGGCATAATTAAAGGAGAAAGAATAAAACAAAGTGCAATAAATACCAGCTTTCCCATAAAGAAAAAAATTAAATTGACTATCTCAAAGATGTTGATCATTTGTAATGAATAGATGGAAAGTGAGGCAATGAATGCAACATCTTCTGAGACAACTGAAGTTGCAATATTTCTAGGAATAAAAATATATCTGCAGATGTATTTTTGTGTTTGAACTATTAGGATTATTTTTCCTTGGGTGTCAGAAAATAAATTTTAAAAAAGATTATTTTTTCTAGATCTATATTTTCACTTTTTTTTGAGTTCTATACCTTGAATACGATTTTATTTTGTGCAGTGGATAGTTTAATCGGAGAAATAGAAATGGGGGAAGGAGAAGAAGAAAGAAGGGTTATGGGATGAGGTACACAGGGAGAGCAAGATCATGTAAAGGAAGTTACACACCTCTACTGAGTGTGAAGCTGGTGAATCCAGAATGCAGTGCCTATGTCCTTAGTAAAACAAGCATGTGACAGTTCTTAAAAATATTGATTTTAGGGCTGGAGCAATAGCACAGCGGGTAGGGCCGACCCAGGTTCGATTCCCAGCATCCCATATGGTTCCCCGAGCACTGCCAGGAGTGATTCCTGAGTGCAAAGCAAGGATTAACCCCTGAGCATTGCCGGGTGTGACCCAAAATGCAAAAAAAAAAAATTATCAAATTTTAATGTGCGTTGTGAACATCAGCAATATATTACCTCAATATCTATACCAGGATCTTCACTGAGATTTTATTTAACAGAGAGATCTTTAACTTCACTAAAATTCTTTGTCATTTTT